TTCGACACTTTGACGGCTACTTTCTTGTCTTTATAATATCCTATGAGCACATCTGGAACGGCGTTTGAATGTAAGAATTCCAAGTAACTCCACAATCATTACAGATTCTCCGCATAATCCCACCTCCAAATTCTCCATGACCTATGATGTCTCCTAATCGAATTTCACCAGACGGTATGACAAGCCCCGCTTTCAGAAACGCGCTCGTTCGGTCCTCAATGTTATCGCTAGTGGATGGAATGTGGTAGTTCTCGCAAATAATAGGAGTTACAAGGCGATGACACAGCCCGTCAGCATCCCGCTTGTAATGCTGAAAAACGAAACATGATATACATCGCGCGAACTTAACTCCATGTACATTCAATACCCGTACCGAAACTAGTTGTGTGAGGTTAGCAAAAAACTCCTCGTTGTCGCAGGTGATTTGTCCGCCACTCTGGTAGATGCGATAATGCTCGACCTGAAAAGGGAACAGTTAAGCGAGGTGGCGTTGACTCATCAGATACTGTCTACAACCATAAAGAAGAATTAGAACTCGTAAACTGCAGAAATCACGATTTCTAGTTCAAATAATTTACCCCTTTGGATTTGAATGAAAAGTGACAGGCGAATGAGGAGGAAAGGATAAGGAGGGTGAGGGGGGAAGTTTGTAAAACAACAAAATCGTAAATTTCTCCTGAATCAAAATTGCAAACCTCTTGATAACCGCTTTTGAGGTTCAATATTAAAAAGAGCATCTGTTCTGGAAAAGATTTGAGATCATAGAGTTGATATAATACAATTTGATCATATGCGGCGATTAGAAAATCAATTGCGACGACATAAAATATTGTAGCTCCACACTAAGAACAATGGACAGTCCTACTTGAAAAAGATTATTTAAATTTGAGGTATAAAATATCATTAGGAATAGTCAATCATGTTATACTCATTGAAAATGCTATTTAAACTAGGCTTAGAAAGACTGAGATCTCTTTGAAGGGGACAAAGCTGTTTTTGAAATGATGAATGAGCAAGTTATAATCAACTCATTATTTGAATATCAAAGAATGTGTAAAAAAGAGTGAAATAAAGCCAAAAATATAGAACGCAAAAATATCCTCACCTTCCCTCTGTACGCCATTGAAAGTGTGTAATCGCCAGGAAAATTTGTAGATTCCCTCACCAGAAACGTTCCATCTGCTCGCTGATGCAACATTCTGCAACGAAATGTCTTATTATGGCAATTCATCATAGCATTTTGCACTGAGCAATCGATGCCAAGATAGTAAATCCCATCATAAGCAGTGATTTTCACGAACACAAACATAATATTCTTTACCATCCTAAATTAAACAGCAAGTGATGATGCAAGACTTACGACGAACTTCAAAATTCGCTCAATATAACGCAGTTCACCTGTTGAGCGATCTTTTAACGAAATGCCCCATTTTGCAGGTTTTTCTTGCGAA